ACCCACTCACAGGAATACAAGAGGAGAGAGAGAGAGAGAGAGAGAGAGAGAGAGAGAGAGAGAGAGAGAGAACACAGACAGGCATTCCACAGGAGCACTTAGAGGGCTCGAGGGCAAAAGGACAGCCAAGGCCGAAACACACCAGGGCTGCCCCGGCCACCCGAGGGCCGAGGGTCGGGCAGCTCTTTGGATTTGGACCAGGGAGAGGATAAAACACAGTTAAGTGTGGAGAGAGGAAGAAGCGTGAGATATAGGACCAGCACTGCAATTACAGAAATTCTGTCAAGAAAAAATCCAAAGAATCAAGTCTTCCTGTGCAATGAGCCTGGCTAAAATTAGGGAATCAAAACAAACTGCTAAACGAGAGGTAGAAATACCAACTTTCAGGCATCCATTTCAACAGCTGTTACCCCGTTCTGTCATGGGGAGGGATTTGCTACCCTTTTTGGGGGGACTTTATCCTATCAACCCTGAAAGACACCAGCTTGAGAACTGCACTACAGCTGAACTGGCTTCAAATTCTAAGTTTGAAATCCATGTTTCCATTCTTGCCCACGAACAATCATAAATGATTTGATGCATAAATGAAACTTCACAAACATTATTTCACATACAAATCAGACTGAACTCTTCCACAACTCCAACAAACAGAAAATTGTTATGAAACAGATCTCTGAAGTTCAATTAAACGAAAATGTATGGTATTGTCCGTGTAGTTCAAATGGATGTCTGATTTCCAGATATTTCTAACCAAGGGTCTGATTCCATATACCCTCCATCAATACATTTTAAAATAGAAACAAAGCAGGAGAATAAATAGGGGCAAAGGAGCATGACAGTTGCTTCTGTTTAAGAGCTGATTCCCAATTTTATCAACAAAGTTAGTGGGTTAATATTCATAAGAAGGAGACAAAGAACCCTTGATCACCTTCTTTGGTGACTGTCACCTCATAACTCTCTAAAGGGAGAAAAGATAAACCCATGTCAGTAATTCAGGAAAGAGTGGAGATGGAACACAGGAAATAAAGTCAAAGATGCACATATTATACAGAAAAGCTTGGCATATAATTTAACAACACACACAGTAGCCACCTATCAAAATTCCTATAGCCAAACTGGAGCCTCGGGAGCAAAACGTCACTTTGAATACCACTTACCATGAGCTACTGCATAATTTTTAAATGACACTAATTTAGGGATGAGATGGTGCTGTGAGGTTTCCTAACAGCCTCAGATGTCAAGGGTTTTTCTTTTCCAATACTTGGATGACCAAAGTGAACTGTGTTTTCATTTTCAAGCTGGGTCTTCTCAGCTAGATTCTGGCAACACATTAGATTCAGAGAAGCAAACATTTGGAGAAAAAGGTTTTAACCCTTTGTTCTTACCGATACCGATGGTTTCTAATAAAAAACACCCAACCAAAGGAACAAGTATGGACCCTCTGCTAATAAACATCTGCTTAATGTGAATGGAAGGAGCTCAAAACCAGCTGCAGGGACCCTACGCTGACCATGGCTTCACCCTCTAAGAACACCTCCCTGGGGCAGCACAGGCCCTGTGGCCACACCGGTCCCTGGCAGAGAACAGAACAGGTGGGCGTGGCCTTCTCCAAAGCAGCACTCCTTGAATTCCCTTGCTTTTTGAAAGATTTTGCCATTTATTTCCCCTGAACAGTGTTGTTTCATTTTATATGATTTCAAGGTTTTAAAAATGGTACCAGGTGACACACAGTATTTGTGACATGCAGTTTTTGCGACTTGCTTTTTACACAACCTTGAGATCTTCAGGTGCATCACCCTGGCTGCTATATGCAGCTATGGTTTATTCCTTCCACTACTACCTGCTGGTAAGAATCCCATGAGCTTGGGGACCGGGGATGTAGCTCAGTGGCTCCATGCCTGCCTGGCAAGCACAAAGTCCTAGGTTTGATCCCTGGTAGCAGGGGCAGGGCAAAAGAATCCCATGAGTTAAAACATGCAGCAAGCTTAAAACCTTGCCTGGCACAGTGGAAGAATTTGACAAATGTTTGCTATTACCACCACCTTTCATTTATTCATTCATTTGTTCATTCATTCATTTTGTTTTGTTTTTGTTTTTGTTTTTTGAAACAGGGTCTCACTAGGTAGCCCAGAATGGCCTCAAGCTCAAAGCAATCCTTTCACTTCAGCCTCCCAAGTTCTGGGACTACAGGTGTGCACCACCACACCTGGCTTACTATCATCATTTTCCACTGTGTGAATATGCTGTAATTAAAAGTTTTCTGCTATTGATGAACAATACCATGGCAGCTATTTCTGTCCTGTTTCCTGCTGGACATGAACAAGAGATCCTACATCTATGTTGCTCAAGGTGGCAGCCACCAGTTACATACAGCTGTTCACTTTTAAACTCAAACTCATGCGAAATGAAATACTAAATATTCAGTTCCCCATTCTGAGTGCTCGACAGCTGCATGTCACCAACCTGGCTGGTGAAGCAGCCTGAACACAGATACACAGCTCCCCACCACCCACTACAACAGCTGTTTCTGCTCACAGGCAGGCTGTGCAGACAGTGGGTTCTGGGCCAAACTCAGCCCGTTCCTGGTTTGGAATGGCCCAGATGCTAGGACTGGTTTTTATCTTTTTAAGTAGTATTTCAGGCGGGCACAATGGTGCACACCTGTGATCCCAGCACTCTGGGAGGTTGAGGAAGGAGAATCACAACTTTTAACTCAGGCTGGGCAACTTAATGACTTACTGAGACCGTGTCCCAAAATAAAAAGGGTTGAGATACAGCTCAGGGTCAAAGCCCTGGGTTCAATTCCCACTACAACATATTGCATGAAAAATGTACACTGAAAATTCAAGTATCAGTCTCCCATCAATTTTTTATTGGGCCCCAGATATGCTGTCCTGTAGAAATGATCTCTGTCTGTGTTCTCAGAACCAGGGCAGACCTGCAGAGCTGCAAAAGGCCTCTGGACTGCAAAGCCTACCCACCCTCCCTTCAGACCCTTTAGGGAGAAGCTCACTGCTCCTTGCCCTAGAGACTCCTAGAGCAGAAGCCCCAGGCACCACAGAGGAGCCGCTGGCCTGGGCGGCCTGGATGTGCTGACTCACTGCCCCTGCAGTGTACATCAGCATCACGAGATACCCTGGAGTTCCGCATGGGGCAGCCCCTCGTCCTCTGAGCTGCTGCACTGATTGTGCTGCAGTGTGCTTCCTGACCTGGGTGCTGGGCTCTGGAAAGCATGGTCGAAGAAGACACTGTCATAAGCAGTGGCCTGAGTAAAGGCACAGACCCAGCTGCTGCTGAACTGGGGTAAAGACAACCCACTCGAGCAATGTCCTAGATGAGTTTTTTGGCTTTTTGTTTTTGAGAAATCAGGGTCTTGCTATGTTGTTCAGGCTGGTTCCAAACTCCTGGGCCTCCCCACCACATTAGGCAATAAAGCCCTTGACACTGACTTGCTGAGAGAGGCTCAGGAGGGATGAGACCATTCGCCAGCTCTTATAAACTCACCACATCTTTCTTTCCAGAAATCAGGCTGGGAGGAGGGGAGGAAAGATGTAGAGTGAAGGATGCACTGGGTGTTTCCATCTCAGACAAAATGATGTCTGAGCGGAGAGTGAAGAAATGAAGGGAGCAGCCACATGACTATCTGGTTACAATTTCAGACAGCAGGAGCAGCCAGGGCAAAGGCTGAGGCTCCATGAGGAGGCCTGTGCCGCTGGGGGCCGCAGAGATGGGAACTCTGGGCTGCAAGAGCTGGAGCTTCTCCTCCCTGGGAGTAAGAAGTAGCAGGAAGGCTCAGCAGAGACAGGCGACTGTGTCCCTGAGAGGATCGGTCCATCGCTGAGCAATGCGGCAGGAGATGCTGAGGCCCGTCCTGCGTGTGGCAGGCACTGGAGAAGTGGGCAGAGCTGGGAGGAACCCTTCAAGCAAAGCCAAGGCTGCCAGGCGGGAACCCAACCCAAAGCCACCTTTCACTAAGCTTGGACAAGAGGGACAGCAGCATAGAGCGAGGGCGGGATTCGCGTTCTAGCTCTGCACCAGGGTCTGCACTACAGAGCGTGGGTGTCAGGATCCTGGAACATGTCTCAAAGGTGTGCTTAGCAAACAAGATCATAAATGACTTGAAAGCCAGCTGCTCTCCAAAGACTGGATTTGATCCATTTATAAGGAGAACAGCAAACAGCTTAAAACAGCGTCCTTTCAAGTCACCACTGAGTGTACCCATGAGGATTCTCCTTCCAGGGGTCCACAGGGCCTGTGGCCTCAGGTCGGCTGGGCTTACTGCACTGCTGGCCAGGCAGGGACTCTGCCTAAATGGCTTAAACATGGCCTCACAGGGACAGCTTGATGCACAGAGCAGCCTGGACCGCAGTCACTGCCGGGCCACAGAACCTTCTACACCACTGCCCCAAGGCCCAATCTGTTCCTTCAAAGCCCAGCTCTAGCTGCAAGGAGCAAGGCCAGGCAAGTACTGAAGATGAGCAGGGGAGGGGCTGCTCGAGGTGCTGTCCGGGAAGCCCTTGAGACTTACCTGAGGACAGCACTTCAGAACAGCTGGAAGGGAGGGAAGGTGGGCCAAGCCTCTTGGTTCAGCTGACTGGGCTGTTGGTGGAACTGGGGCACAGACGGGAAAAGGTGAAGCATGGAGCTCAGAAGCTGTCATTCATCCTGCCAGTTTCACCTCTGGCTTGCAGGTTGCATGGCTGGGATTTTTTTGGTGGTGGTAGTGGTGGTACCAGGGATGAACCAGGGCCTCTGTGCTGAGCGCCATAGCAGCCTTTTTCTTTTTTATCCTGAGACAGGATCTCACCAAGTTGCCAGGTTGGGCTTGAACTTACCACCCTCCAGTCTCCCAGGATGCTGGGAATATAGGTGCACACTACCATGCCTGGACACTTGAAGTTTGTTTTTTGTTTGTTTGTTTGTTTGTTTTTGGTACCAGGGATTGAACTTGGGACCTTGCGCTTGTGAGGCAGGTGCCAGAACCCCTGAGCTAAATCCCCAGCCCTCTTGAAGTATTTTAAAGCAAGTCCCAGACATGCATTGCATCCAATACTTCAGTAGGTAACACTAACAGAGGTATCGCTTCACAGAACTATGCTAGTACCACATTCCACCAGCATTCAGTGATTCCTGGGCACTTGCACGGTGAGCAGCTCTCTGCCTCTGACACTCAATCGTGATCCTCCTCCTCAGGGCAGAGCAGGGGCATAGCAATGCTCTCGTCTGTCAGAGCTCATCTGTCAGTGCTGAAGGGGTCATAGACATCCACCGCCTCCACGGCGCGTCACAGCCTCACAGGGCTCACAGCCCATCCCCCTGCACACACAGGGACACCTCCGCCCCCGCTATCTAGACTCAGCCTTCTTCCTGCAGCCTTCCACCTTGGCAAGGGAAGACTTGGGATCATGGCTCACATATGATGTCCTTTCCGCCCTGTCCCTTCCAACCCAGTGCAGACCCCACACCGCTGTCCTGCTTCGAAATGGACCTAAAACCTTGCCTGCAGGCTGGGGTGCAGCTCACTGGTGAGTGCTCGCCTGACATGGGAGTTCCATCCCCAGCACTGCAAAAACAATGCAGTTTTCATGCCCGGCGCTCCTGACTCAGCAGCTCTGGGGGAGCCCGGCTCCTCCCCACCTTCTAAATTACTCACTCGTCTGCACCCCAACCTCGATGCCTCTAGCCCTGGGCTGTAAAACATAAACCCCCTACCCTCCCTGGTCCATGATCTGCAGTGCTGGTGTCACCTTCCCACCTGGAACACCAGGGCTTGGGGACAGAGACCAATTTCTATGCTTTCCATAGGCTCCAGCAGGTCCAGCACAGTTACCCAGCATCTGATGGCTGTGGATCCCCAATATGTAGGAAAGCAATAGCTCCAGAAACAAACGACCGCCTCCCAGGCAGCAGCCACCAGCGTGGGGCTGAACACCACCACTCACAGGCTCTGGCCATGGCTGGGGTTATTCCATATTGTCCACTCCAAAATGGATGGGGCACTGTTCCACACAGCAAAACACTCAAGGACCCAAGTTTGTAGCAAACTCTATGACAGTTTTAAAGGTGAACTGCTACAGAAAGTACCAGGCACCTCAATACTTGAATATGCAACCTGCCCTGGGACAGGAAGTAACATTACACTGTATAAGCATATGTTACAAGTGGAAAATGCAATGTCTTAAATTAAACCATTTAATACCAACAGTAACAAATCCTTGTATTTTCAACATAGAAAAATAGCAATCTTGCCAGGCTTGGTGGCATATGTCTGTAATCCCAGCACTTGGGAAGCTGAGGCAGGAGGATCACCCTGAGTTTGAAGATAGCCTGGACTACAAAGTGAGACTCTGTCTCAAACATCCAAAAAAACTACAACAAAAAAATGGCAGCCTTTCATGAGTGAATCTGGTCCATCCAACCCTGCTACAAACACACTGTCGGCCTGGCTGCACCTGACGAACAAGCTACCGCGGACAGTGGCATGCCAGCGGGCCCAGGCTACCAAGACCTGTGAGTCACGGAAGCACCAAGGCAGGGGGAAAAGAGCTCCAGACCTTCTAAGGAGGTTCTCAGCAGACTCCAAAGAAAACAGCCCTCCGAACTCTCTTCTGGACTCCACTCCTACCATGCTGTTCAGCCAATCCTGTAGCACCACAGCTGATCTGGGACAGTGGGAACAGACCTGCCTTAGTAACTTAGGAAGATCCTGTCTCAAAAAAATTAAAGGGCTGGAGATGTAGCCCAGTGTGAAGACTCTCCGTTCAATCCCTAGTACTGAAAAATAATCTAGGTAATCAGACCAACAAGGAAAGCTATAAATGATTTTAATATTTAAGGGAAACAGCAACACAGAAATCACCTAGACAACTAGACAAACACTGTGTTCGTTGTACAGAGTGCTTTCTCTACTGTCCTGGTCCTGAATCCACTCTTGACACCCAGCGAACAAGCACAGCCCCCTGGAAGCTGTCCCCACTTCAGACTCAGCACAAGCTGGCTGGTAGGTTATGTTTCTGAAATGGGATGTACACTTGAACAGAATGAAATATGGATTTACTTTTAAATACTTCTTCAGCAGCAGCCCCACACTCACTGCCCTCAATTTACAATAGGAAATTGAACATATGATATAGAGGTTTTGTTTGGTTTGGCTTGATCTTGGTTTTATTTTTGTTTTGTTGCTGTTTTTCAGTTGAGGCTGGAATCCAGGGCCTTCACACTGAGATACATCTTCAATCCTTCTGATTTTTTATTTTGAGACAGAGAATGATGGGTTAGATATAAAATGCCTCCCAAATGTCTCCCAGTGTTCAGAGGCAGGGCACATGCTCATGGGTGATAACCCACTGGTGAGGGAAGGCCAGGCGCAGGCCCGGAGCCTCCTCTCCTGCTTCCTGGCTGCCATAGTTTCAGCAGCTTTTCTGCATTGTTTCTGTCGTGAAGCCAGCCAACCATGGGCTGAAGCCACGAAACAAAATAAATCTTCAAGTTTTGCAGAGGTCAGAAAATGGGAAAATGACTAATACATAGGGTCTTGTCAAATTGCCCGGGCTGGGCTTGAATTTTGGATCCCCCTGCCTCAGCTTCCCAGAATGCTGGGATTATAGATGTGTAGTACTGCACTCCACTCGATGACACATTTTATACAAGTTCATCCAATTGTTTTTATCTGTTCCCAGGCAAAAAGAACATTCATTAATTAAGAGAAATTTTGATCTGGAAAAAGTCATGTGAAAACTTTTTTCGAAAACTAGTTCTGGGCCAGGGATTTAGCTCAGTGGTTCTGCTGCCTGCCTGCCCCACAAGCACAAAGACCTGAATTCAATCCCCAGTACCGCCCCAAAAAAAACTAGTTCTGCTGGTGACTGGATAAAGATGTGGCTTTTTTATAAAATGGAGTATTAATCAGCCATAAAAAATGATAAACTAAATAGATGCACATTGAGGCTATACTCTTAAGTGAAGTAAATATGACACACGTGTAAATACTGAATACTTTTTCTGGTGTGAGAAACTGAAAGTGTAAATGAAGATCAAAATGTACAGTAATGTGAACTAGGAAGAAAAAGTCCAAAGGGGAAGGAGGAGGGGAAGGAGGGGTGAGGGAAAAAAAAAATACAAGAAAAGAAAAAACAGAATCAAAGTCTGTGTAAATAGGGAGGGATGGAGGGGTTGAAGAGAGGGTGGGAGAATGGGGGAAAGAGGAACCAAGATGCATCAAGTACAGGTACGAGTTCCCAATGATGAATATCATCATAGTGTGTATACCTAAACGTACCAATAAACTCAATGAATAAAACTAGTTCTATAAAGTCTATGCTTACCCTGAGGCCCAGAAACAGTGCAGCAGCACCATGTCCTACTTCCGGGTAATGAGTTTACCACAGCTGATGTGACCCAAGGGCAGCGCTGATGGAGAAAGGGCCCTAAAATGCCAGCAGCAGAGAGTTGTCCCATGACGATCATCTCCAAAGCTACCCCAGCCATCCATTCCCACAGACACAGGCTATCACCCTTTGTTCTGTCCTCCCTCAAATTGAGGCTCCCACCTGGGGCCCGTGCACGTGAAGGAAGCACTCTGTGCCTGAGCCAAACCCCAGCTCTTTCTATTTTGAGACAAGAGTTCAGTAAGTTGTCCCGGCTGGCCTCAAACTTGCAAAGTTCCTGCCTCAGCCTCCCAAGTGGCTGGGATGATAGGCACATGCCACAACAACAGCTCACTTTTAATACGTTCTTAACTCGAGTAACTTCATTAAAATGTGATCTGTGTCTGGCTGGGTGCTGTGCCACATGTCTGCAATCCCAGTTACTCGAAAAGCTAAGGCAGGAACTTAGCAAGACCCTGTCCCAAATTTAAAAATGAAAAAAGGGCTGGGGATGCAGTTCAGTACAAAGGTCCTGGGTTTAAAACCTAATACGGGGCAGTGGCGGGGAGGGTGCTGTAATCTATGCAAAAGTATTTCTCCATAGAGAACTCAGCTTTTTCAAGGATATCTCTGCAGATCACAGAAGTGAGGTGTCAGAGTCCCTAGATCCTTGACACCCAGGGCCTCGGGGAGCAGATGAGGAAGCAGTCAATCTCATGTGAGCGCCATTTGGGCACACCTGGTCTCACATGCACTCCAGGTCTGAGACCTGCTAGTGCAGATGTTACCAACCTAGCCACAGTGAGACAACTTCAGTCAGTTTAACTGAGCTACAGCAGACAATTACATGAAACATCTGCTTTTCAACTACCAGAACAGGTGGGTGTCCTCCAACCTACAGTTAAAGGAAAACTGGGGCACCAAGGAGCACAAGCAGCCATCGGGATCACGGCACTGTCAGAGGAGCCCCAGCACTCGAATGGCGAACAAGTGGCTGGCGACAGCAGAGGCCGCTCTCCACCTGGCCACAACACACCGGCCACCATACCTGCAAAGCGCAGAGGGGCGTCCTTATCCAGCGCGATCAGGGGAGGGTCGAGCAGGACTGTGTTGTCGTTCTCAGTCACGATTCCGTGGTACGTGGGCTCCAGCCAGGGCTTGTGCTTGTTGACTGCATTTCAAAGAAGAAGAAAAATATGAGGCAAGGTTAGAATTTCTGTTTTAACCTCCACTCCACTGCCTATTTTCTTTTGGTTTTTGGAGGTGGGGGTGATGGAAGCCCAGGCCTCAGGAGCCCCAGGCAAGTGCCCCCACAGTGCCCAACCCCCAGCCCACATCCACTGCGCAATAATCATTCCCTGAATGGCAACAATCACAGTTTTGTGGCAGTATTTGGTATCAAGACCCAAATTACATGAAATTGTGAATTCTAGAGCAATACTGTAGAAATTATCTGAATCCATGAAGCAATCAGAAGAAAGAAA